TATTTGTTTATGTTTACATGTCTTCATTTGTTTATGTCTTCATGTCTACATGTCTTTATTTGTTTATATCTTCATGTTTACATGTTTTCAGGTGTTTTTTCTACATGTCCTCATTTCGTCATGTCTACATGTCTTCATGTCTTCATGTCTAAATGTCTTCATGTGTTATCAAAGTGTCTTATTAACCTCTGGACTTAATTCATTGAAATTTTCTGAATGTATTTATTGGTTGAACATCTTCAACTGAAAAATTCCTGAATCAGTCCAGTTTATAATGACTGCCAGCTGACCTTAGAAAACATAAAAGATGTTTATATCTTCAACTTCTCATCAAATTTGTCATTTTTGGCTGAATTTGACAGATTTTGAGTTAATATTTGATGTAGTGTTATCAAAGAGTTTTTACAACACAAGTGATAGTTCAAAATAACACATGAGATCATAAACCAGGTTATTTTCAGGGTTTAAAAGTGCCTACTCCGCCATTTCTCAACTTAAATCCCACTGAAAGTCTCTTCCTGTCTGGATCTGATGTGGGCCATCCGTCGGAACTCTTTGTGTTAGACTGTTTTGCCTGAGCCTTGATGCTTTAATTATTGTATGGGTTTTGGTCTTTGATTTTATTTTTATTTTTCCAAAAACCATTCCCTAAAATAGGGTAACCTACCATCATGATCTCAGCATTTTGTACCTTGTTTTGATACACAATCAGCTTTTGCTTTATTTTATTTTTTTATTGATTCAAACAGAGTTGTAAAGGAACCAAGTGCAAATACTTTGTTACTGTACTTAAGTAGAAATTTCGGTCATCTGTACTTTACTTGAGTAATTATTTTTCAGCGTACTTTTTACCTTTACTCATTACATTTTTACACAATTATCTGTACTTTCTACTCACTACATTTTTTAAAAAAGGTAAGAAGTAGAAAGTCGTTACTCCTATTTTATTCCAAGTTGTTATTACTTAAAAAATACTATCCTGATGAATTGTGTCTCCTGGATAGAGTGAATTTAATTATGTTTGGATGAGAAGTATAAATATATACCATTCTGACACCCTATTAGCTTGTACACAACCCATCACAGCTGCACGCTGTTAGAAAAAATATTTTTTGGAGAAGTCACCTCCCAATAAATGTTATTTTGGAAAATCTAACTGTTCACTTTTACTCAGTACTTTAACTTTTAAGACTTAAGTAGATTTTGGCTGTGTCTCAATTCAGGGGCTGGGTCCTCATGACCCAGCCTAGCTAGGCCACATCCTTGCTGGGCCGCGTAGAATGCTCAAAACTGCTGCGAAATGAGACGGTCCAGCCTTCGCCTGACGTTGGCTACACGTGGGTT